TAATTTTAATTTGTTTGATTAACAATAAATATTCTTTTAAAATTGAATAAAAAAATTTGTTTTATATATTTGAAATATTTCATATTGAAACGATAATTTTAATATCATTGATTTAAAAATATTATCTTAAATCTTATAAATAAAAAGAAAATAATTAAAATGTGTTAAATAAATGTATTTTGTGTTATTATATAAAGATATTATTTATTTATTCTTCTTCGAAATATGTTATCATTCGATAATACATTTACAAATTTTATATTTTACTTTAAAACAAATAACTCTTTCATTTTATGATCTATCAACGTCGTTATCATAAAGAAAAAGAAAACTGAAAAAAACAAAACATATGAATGAATCAATATGAAAAGATAAGATTGAATTATTTAGGAGATAATTAATAAATCCATAAGAATAATTAATAAGGATTTTTTTTTAAATTGATTTATAAATAATCTTTTGAACAATACTTTTGTATAAAACTATAACCAAATTTCATTTATATTTCAGTTTTTAACAAAAATATTTCGATTGGTTTTATTGTTCTTCTTTTTTGTTAATATTTATATTTATGTTATTATAATAAATTCAATTTATATGTTAAGTACATATACTAAAAATGATCACTTTCGAACAATATTAATATATATGTCAAAAATGAATATTATCATTAAAAAATTAAAAATTATTTTACACTTTTTATATATCATTTGAAATAATATTAAATAAATAATTAGTTCATTTCTCAACCTTCTATTTTATTTATGTCTTCATTGATTTCAATATTATTTCCTTTATATTTTACAATATATATATATATCAACCTGTTTATTTGTGACGAAATAAAGATTTTGCATTTTAGATTTTCAAGATTTCAGTGGAGTTAAGGCAGATAAAGCTGAAATTTTCAGAATATATTGAAGTAAAGTTGCTCTACATATGCTAAAAGCTTAATTAGAATCGATGTTTTCTTCACAATTTTATCATTGAAATATAGAGCTGGGACGGAATAATCAAAAATCGTCTTGATTTTTAGTGTTATCTTTTTCGAAATTAAGTAAAGATTTTTTCATCGATTGAAAATAAAAAGTTAATTAACTTATGTCTATCGAGAAAAACTGACATTAGTCCAACATGAGAATTATTTTATCATTTTCATTTCATATTAAGACTTGGTTTAATAGACAAATGCTTACAGGATGTCAAAACAAAGACTTTAGACTTTTCTTCTCAACAATATTCAAGTCATTTTATTGAAAGAGAATATATTTATCGATGTGTTGTTGTAAATTGTCAAAAATACATTATCCCACATAAATCGATACTTTTCGTTGTCTCTAACATATAAAAATCACTCTATTACACGGCTGATTTTAATTCAGTAGTTTGAGTTATTTATAATACATCCAAATGCAAAATATTTTCTAATATTGAAAGCCAGAATAATGAATTTTTTGAAAATTTTATAAACTTCTCTTTTTCTAAAAATAATCTTTTCCTTAATATACTTGTAGAAAATAAATTTGTCATTAATTAATTTTTGATAATAGATTAACCTTTTAGCCCACGCTACTAATCCAGTAGAGTTGATGCTGAGTCGACAACATAAATAGATCATATAGAGTGCTCAATATGATATTCCCATGGTTAAATTCGAGCCCAAGTCATTTTACTGTGTAGATACAAAATGAGTCAAAAATGAGCCATTGATGTTGAATGACATAAAAATTTGATTTTTCATTAATTTGACGTTTTAATTTTTGTTTGTAATTGCATGTTTATTTATCTATATACGACTAAAAAGTGATAAGTTTATTTTATTCCAGTTAAAACTTACAAGCAAAAATTGCAAAGAAATTAATGTCAGTGTGTCAAATATGTCTATTTATTTTGACAATAATACTCTTTTAAATAATTACGTATTGAACTAAGTCATCAACGGAGAAGTGATTCGCACCACTTCCACTAAAATCATTAATCGGTATTCATTCTCTCATTTTTCTCGCAGCGGTTAGACGCGTTTGTTCTTGCCGCTTCTTCACGCTTATTGATATTCTTTTCTTTTTTCGTTTTTTTTCCCCTCTTTATTTCCTTTACAAGAATCTAAGTCTAAGACTTTACGATTCTTGTGGAAATGTCTGCCACAAATAGACAGTCCCATGATTGTATTGAGCAACAGGAACAAGTGTATAACTCTGATGAAAACTCTCGTGTGTATGTATTGATGAACAATGTTCCATTTACTGCGAATAATGAAATATCACAAGAACAGCAATCAGTCTATTGTAATGCTCCATCGAATTACTCATCGAACAGCAATCCACAAGCATTTTTATACCAGCACTAATTGGCAAACAATCAAATGGTTCAACCGTCCTCATTAGTTCGTTTTACACCACAGCATCATCAACAACAGTCATTACCATCATCTACCAATACGCCTCCTTCTCTGTTACATCCGTCGATGGTACATTCCAACATGAATCAACAACAAGCATTTGCATCTACATTCCAACCATCCGTTAATATCACAGTACCAATTCCGTCATTAATGACTAATCCAGCAGGCTCATCAACCCCAATATCAACACAGACAAAAAGAGGTCGCACAGATATCAGTGGTGCTTCAGAATCAAGTATACAGTTACGACCTCAATATCCTCAGTTGACTCGTGTTTTTAACTCGAATAATACTCCAAACAAACGTCATCGTGGTATTAATCAACAACACAAGGAACATGATTATCCCGGTCGATATACTCAAAATCAACCAGTCCAATTTAAACAAAATTATCATACGACGACCGACACGGTAAATCAAAACGACCAACAGCAACTGTTGTCAGTAGCAGCATGTCGCTTCGCTACGTCTCGTTATCAATTCTCGCCTTTTTCAGTAATTTTCTCGCAGGAAGTACGCGACAAGATTGTTGTCGATGATCTTATTCAACACGCGATGAATAATTTCAATTTCGAATTAACCCTTTGAGTCCGGGTGTCCTATATATAGGACGCAGTTTAAATATTTATAAATAGAGGGCGGTATTATACAATAAATTTTTTTTTATTTATATTACAACGTATTTTATCTATTTTAG